GGGGGAGCAGAAGGGAGATTCAAAGATGTAAAAGAGACAGGCAGACGCAAAAGCAGAGAAAGTGGTAGAATATGATATACAGTGGAGCCATTGTAGTTTGAGGTCAGAAGTCAACTGCCGGTTTATAGACTTTTTTGCCCTATGAGTGTACGTTGCCTAGGGTGCACCACGTGGGAGTAAGTCTATCGCACACCCCCCCCCCTTCGGAAACTTGGCGAGTGACGCAGAATTGGGATTAGAGTCTTTACCTAGACTTTGAGGCTGTTGAGTGGAAAGTTGTTTTCGGAGGTACTAAGATCTACAAGCCGATTTTGCAACTAGATAGGAGGAGGGCAGGTTGTCGTTGCTATGGCGAAAAGAAAGTACAGCTCAATCTGGACGAGAAGGAGGCTCAAAAGAGCCCAAGAAAGTAATGAATATGTTCCACAGACCCAGAAACCTTAACGTCGAGAAGAAGGATCGGTCTTACAGACTTTCTTAAATTTACTTCCAGTGGTTTAGATGACAAATGGTCTTAGGTGTGAATCCTCTGTTTGCGCTTAAAATATACAGTAGAGGCGAGACGTTATAAGACCTCGATAGATAAGCTGTATTCATTCATGATGAATTCTTAATTAAACGAAAAAAGATATTGTAGTAATCACATGAGCTTTTTTACGATTTTTGTTGCCTTATTTTCTCTGATTGGGGTGTGGGATAGACTTACCTCCACGTGGTGCACCCTGGGCAACGTATACTCATACGGCAAAAAAAGTCTACAAACAGGCAGTTGGCTTTTGACTTCAAACTACCACGACCCCCCTGGTTGTCATATTCGACCCCTTACACAGTACTCACCTCACCTTTTTCCTACCTTTTCTAACTTCGTCTTTAAAACTCTTCTGTTCCTCCCCACCACTTCTCGACTTTTTTCACTTTGGTGTTGCCCGTCNTTTTCTCTGATTGGGGTGTGGGATAGACTTACCTCCACGTGGTGCACCCTGGGCAACGTATACTCATACGGCAAAAAAAGTCTACAAACAGGCAGTTGGCTTTTGACTTCAAACTACCACGACCCCCCTGGTTGTCATATTCGACCCCTTACACAGTACTCACCTCACCTTTTTCCTACCTTTTCTAACTTCGTCTTTAAAACTCTTCTGTTCCTCCCCACCACTTCTCGACTTTTTTCACTTTGGTGTTGCCCGTCCCCTTTGTGAAGCCTGAAGTCAACTAAAGGGCTAATGATAGGCATCAAAACGCCTGCCATTTGATATAAATAAATAAATGATAGTTATCAATAAAAATATGATAAAAACGACCAATTGCTTTCCACAATGAGCCTTGAATTAAACTATTCAGAAGACAGGAAAGGGATGCTTCAACTCGGTTTGAAATTCAGTCTGTACTAAGAGGATTACGAACTACCTTTTAAATGCCAATGTTAGTTTTTAATAGGTGGTACAATTGAAGAAAGATGCCCATTTCAATTAGTTAGAACTATTCAGAATAGAATCCATGTTGTATGCAATTAAAAATGCTAATTTCTGACCAAACAGACTAAACGACTGCAGCACAGGCTCAAATAAGAAAAAAGGAGTTGAATAGGAGGAAGAGAGAGAGAGAGAGGAGAGAGAGGAAATCAGGAAGGAATAGGTGGAGGAATTGGAGGGATGGAGGCGTTGGTACTGAGGGTGGACATTTCGAATTATGAGCAACAGACGAAATTAAGGATAATAAAGAGGTTAACCGATTTCATGATCTTTGTCCATCGGCAGTTAAGAGCGACATGGGGCGAGTTATAGACCATTATAGACATTTATATAAAATGTCAGACTTTATGAAGTCAACTAAAGGGCTAATGATAGGCATCAAAGCGCCTGCCATTTGATATAAATAAATAAATTTTCTCTGATTGTATGAAAGGTCACACAACTTTTGCTACACTAATAATCCTTGACCTATCCTCTGCAATCCCAATGACAAAATATCATAGTATGGATAGGCTCCCGAAATGAGTTGAACTACCTCCATGGAAAAAAGAAGAAGAAGACGTATAGCGAGTGCAGCGTTTATTTAAATTATGTGATTATAGAAAAACATGATTAGTAATCGAGTACATTTAACGTGATTTGAATGAATCTCAATAGGTGGCTGGTGGAGAGGTCCATGGCACTCACGGCCGCACTCTCCAGGATGCTCGGATACGTTGTTTAATCGTGTCAGGAATACTTACCTTTCTTACACAGTTGATTACCCCACCACAACATTCCTGCAGTCGCCAATTTAGGTCGATTCAATTTGGGATTGTTTCATTGGCGGGATTTTCGGAAAATCCGCCCAGGGTAGTTAAACGGAAAATTCCTTTTCATGAAACTAGTTTGGAACCGAGTAAGCGCTTATTCATATGGGCTAACTTTTGGAAAACTCCGATAGTATAACTAATCAGTGTTGAAGATAAATTAATCGTGCTACACAGCACCTTCGCAATGAAATCGATGGACCTCTTGAATAGTGTCACAATCTTTGTTTACAATCTGCTTTTTTTGTACTCATTGCCTCATTCAATTTTAAGTCATTCAGCAAGCGTATAATCATTCTTACATTATTGACCCTTTTGTTTGAAGGATCGATTTTTTATCTTTAACGACGTTTCATGTTAAAATTCTTCGGAAATCGCAGCATACCATGGTGATCTTTCAAAGGGGTATATATGCAAAACCCCTGTGAAGGTTAACGCTTATGACTGACCTTGAAATACCGCATGTATGGACTATTTTGAAAAGGAATACTTCTTCTCAGAGTAGATGCTAATGGCAATGTAGCAATGCGTTTTCTTATTACTCTTGAGGTCAAGTTAGGTATGCCACACTTTCACGAAAATTTTAAATCCTATAATTCTAAATAGCAAACTTCAAAAAAACATGATTTTATGCAAGCGCCTAAGTGAACTAACTACTTAATAACCCCAGTAGGCATAGTCACAACTTCTTGAGAATAATGGCAAAGGGAAAAACAATTAGCAAAAAGTATGATTAGGGATTTAACTGTTCGAATTTTTTTGATGATATAAAAACGTTGATAGAGTATAAAAAAATTATCTTAATCTTTTTATCACAAAAATTGCACCCACTTCACTTATTATACCTTTATTTAAATAAAAAATGGAGTATGATTAGTTAAAAAAAAATAAAAGTTAAATAATTTGGCCTTATATCGCATTTGTTTGGAAAGTTGCTCTCAACAACATATTCAAAAAAGACAAGCGGAATACCTCACAATTATTTGGGCTGTGGGTGTCTGACTCAGGGTCATCGCTGTCACAAGCAATCCCAAATTCTGTAGAATAGGTCAGTTGATCCGTTATCGTATTATCAACGGTTCTTATTCCCATTGCTCGATCAATTACTTGCATACAAAGACTAGTAGCACAAGAAACAGTCGGGCTTGGGGAAAGGATCAAATCCTGAACTTCCTTCAATAGAGAGAGAGCCTCAACTACACTCTCCATGCCACAAGATTCTAGTGCCAGACAATTCCAAATAAAAGGTATCTTCTCGTGTATTATACGTTGAAATAGAACATATCCGCTTTCATCATTGCAATGGCTACATTTATCCTCCAAAATCAGAAATTCGCCACCACAGGATGGACATTTTAGAATTTCTGTCTCATGGCCTGTGTCCCAAGGATCACTACATGCTTCACAATTGCAGTCGAATAAGTAACGCGTAAAAATAGTACCTATTCGAAGTGAGCTTGATCTGGAGAAATAATAATATTGGTAACATATGGTAACCTCCTCATTCTTTTCCATAGGGCGCAATGCGTAGAGGAATGCGCCACCGTTGGCAGTAGACACCAGACAAGCATTGGGATTGCAGGAGTGATTGATTAGAGAGATTGTTGGATAAATGCAAAGTCCCAACCAATTTCTATTTGAATTCAACTCTGCGCTTGGGGATTCGAGGTATTCAGTGTAATCCAATGCATTCAGATAAGCAACTTTAAGGTAATACATCATACTAGCCACAATCCAACTAGCCGGTAGGTAATCTGGGCGGTCGACTTGAGAGGGTTTTTTATAGAACTCCCTTTTTGCTTCATCAAACCACTTCATTGGATAACCAGACAGCTAAAATATGGCAGGAGATATGTAGTGGAGGGAAAATGGAGGCGAAAATTCAATATCTAGGGTTCCGAGTCTTCTCTTACCCAGAGACAGTAGGTTAAAAAAATGGCATTAATTGCAAAGTTCCAAAACAATTCATTGTTGTGCCTAGCATCTAGCCACTCGAGTGAGGAGTAGTCGAAAGGGTCAAATACTGCGGGTGGGTCACCACGAGCATCGAAATCATTCGTAAAACATTGATGTCTCCGACCTCTCTTCACCGGCTTCACATGTGAAATAGAAAGAAAATCTATATATATATACATATATATGTATATATGTATATTCACCTAACTTCCTTCCAAGAAAAATCAGGAATTCTTAAAAGCCATTCAAGGGTTCTAAACCATTTTTCAAACCTACTTGGAGAAAAGCGAACTTGGACTTAAAGGAAGCATTCTTGAATCCGCTATTTTGGCGAATTTACATTCTAGTAACCCTTCTGCTTACCATAATCATCACTAGTAATCATAGTACTCTAGCCTTTTGACTTCGTAGGACACTAATCCAGAGCTGAATATCAGAGCTGTCGATATCACTACCTACCCTCCTCCTCCAAGCAACAGGGTATTATCATTATACCAAGATGTTGAAGGAACAGAATTGGAATTCGCCATTCAGGATCTCTACGATATTACCACCTTCCCTTGATGCGTGTCACTAACAGCTTCCAAGATTAGATTTGAGTGTTAGACACATATACACACAAATACCTACATCAATGGAGTAAAGGTAATTCAGGAGCACGTCAGGCGGTGTGTTTGCAGCACAAGTGTATGCTAAGTGTGAAAAGTTTTGTCCAGGTCTTGGGATATCAGTATTGTGACACACGGTTAGACAAGGCAGTATTCCTCTGCAGTCATATATGTGTCTACCCGATCCCCCGTCGGACAACGAACGATTGGGATTCATGGCTTGGTCAGCACACTTCTTACTACAAAATCCCACCTAAAATGCAAAAACGTCGTCAATAAAGGGAGGAGTTCCATGAAAGCCTATTGCACTTACAATGGTGCATCCTTCACATGGACGAATATTCAAGCACCGTTTGTAGCAGCAGTAACAGTATTTGGTATAGGCACGACCCAAAATAGATGCATAGGGCTTTTCCGTCAAGAGGACCTCTCCTAAAGAAAAAATGTCTATATTATTAAAATGGCATTACCAATTGACACATTTCGTGTTGCCTCTAATGACCATCCTCGATTGGAGTTTGTATTTTTTGGTCGGAGAACGCCTTCTTTAGCTGATACTAACTGGAATGGACTTTCAAAAGAATCATTTCTTTGTTCCAATTTTTCCATTTTATTGATTTTACCAGAGTTTTCAATTAAACTTTCAGCGGGTTCGGGGTGATGGCAAATGTCTTTTTCTTTGTAATTGGATAGATCGTTAAGCTCATTCTTTAATTTCGCTATATCATTCTTCAGTAAAATACTCGAGAGAACCCGATTTTCCACTACTCTATTCTTGTAAAATTTACTCCTTTTCGGGTAGTTTAGTTTTTTGTAGCATTCAGCTATCAACAAGTAAATATCCTTATTTTTTCTGCCTGTGATATGGAGCTTTGAGTTAAAAAAAAACAGCAAGTATAAATTTTAGTCTTGAGAGGCCAGTTGAATAAAAGTAACATGACTAAAACAGCGCGAGAATAAGAACCGATCGATCGGGTTGATAGGCGCAAAAATTTCCACCAACCAACTAGCGCTAAGCCAGAACACCAAAATGCGAAATAGTTATTTGATTAAAAGGCAAAAAGGTTTTCGAAATCAAATTTCCTTGCGTGCAATGGAGAAATTGTGAACTTGTGCAGATGGAAGCGGAGTAGGAAGACTAGCCGAGCAATAACTATGTACTGGTACAGCGCGTGTTTTTTTTTATGAGAACAGAGTGGAAAAGGAAATTGCTTTAAACCATGTCATTTTGAATTTTCTCCTTTATAAATGGAGCGACAACAAGATGATCCTGAAGTCCTGAACACTCTTCTGGTATCTCCACACGTCCTCCTTCATTCTCATCTCAAGTGTTTACCTTGCCTCTTCATGATTAAAGATCAATACCAGAAAAAAAAAATGCTTGGCACATAGGTGAAGCATAGATTTACCTTAAGAGCGGAAATGGCATCTCGCAGACATTCTCTGTAGTACTCCATTTCAAGGAATAGCTGGCATCGTGTTTGCAAGACTTTAAACTTGGCATTTTTAGAATCGGCGCAAAAGTAGGCTCGATTGACTGCACTAAGTGCTTTTTTATACTCCTTCTTATCGATTTTCGTAGAGCACCATTGGAGACATCTCAACGTTATTACATCAGATTTCGGAATAACCAGGGTATCTATCTCGCCTCTTCCAGGTAAGCCCAAACATTTTGCGCCCCTCCCTAATTAATGAAAACAGTTAATACCAAGAATGTTTTTTTTTTATTTTTTTTCTGACTTATGTGTTACCAATTACCTTTGCTAGGGTTTTCTATGATCTTCAGGAGAAAACACACCCGATCGAAGTCGTTTGTAAGCTTTCGAAAGTCCTTGATCAATTTTTCATCACCACCCTTTCTCTGAGTTGCGTTTTGGAGAACTGCTATGAATTCGTCGTGAATTGCGTTACCTTTTCCAGGAGTTATTTGGCGCATGAGTGTCCTAAAGTCCGCATCTGAAAGCTATGGTAAATAATGGTTAGTTTCATAAATAACAAAAGAACCATCATTTGGATAGGCTTGCATTAAGCTCTTAGTAAATGCTAATTCCTCAAAGACAGGATGCGTTAATTTAAAGGTAATATTGCCTCATGGCACTTCTACTCTGTGGGACACATCATCGCATGTGCGACCGTACAAACAGTGGCCAATCATTAATCTCTGTTTGTTTAACCTAATCCGCCATC